GGTGTTTCTTCTTCACTTTCAGCACACGAGGCTGTCATCTGGCTCGCTCTGGTTGCTCACGAGAGTTCCTCCAATCCCAACACTGCGTTCTTCTCCATGCCGGCCAGGTCCTCTGAGTACCTGCTTAGCATGCGGCCTGAACGTGCCTTTCTTGGCTTTTAATCATCCCTTTGTCCTAGTCAGATGAGTGCCCGGCTTAGGGGGCACAAGAAAAGGGGGAGCCTCCAGGGCTGTTCACCCTACAAGCATCCATGGCACTGGGACCCAGTGCCTCACTTAAGCAACAAAACTTGCAGAAATGCAAGAGGCCAAGGAGAATTGCCTCCCGAGAGGTATCAACTGCAGGAAGAAAATGAAGCAGTGCTAAAATAGACACTCCCCACACCAAAAACACATCTTACTCTTAGTGCTGGAAGCGTCCACACTTGTGGTATAATTCTCCAACCCACAATTTATAAACAAGTGTGAAGAGACTCTTACAGGGTTTGAAAGCTCACCGGTACCAGCTTTGACCATCGTGACCCACTTCACAAACTGCCAGTAGAGAAAACTCTGGCAGTCTAACACAGCACAACTCCAAGGTCATAAACCACGTTTCCATGTCGATGTTTTCTCTTCTGCGGGGCAGGACGGGGTAAAGGTGGTGAACTTTACACATAAACCCAGCTAATCTTCACTGCTGGATGTTTGCCGTCATAAGAGTTCTTTGGGGTATGCTTTCAGGACAGTCATCTCTGATAAAGCAGGGATTTTAAAAAGAAGTTAAAGCAGACTTCTACTATACCGTGATTATCATTATTAAGAACATTCAAATTCTACAACAAAAATATATTGAGCACATCCTGAAATTCCAACAGGCTAGTGGTTACATAAGAGAAGCTGGCTTATCCTTTCATCTATAAGCCCCATTTTGCTCCAGAGCCCAGATTTCTTAAGAGACCACGTTGACAACCAACGTACCTCCATCTCCCAAGATCCAGTCTACCACGGCTAGCAAAGGAGGGTAAGAGCCAATCTCCAGGTTGCCCTCGGTCATGTCTGAATGTCAAGCTGCCTATCCAGCACAATGAAGCATACAAACATCTCAGGGCAGATGTCTGTTAAAGGAATAGGGTCAGGCTCCCTAGGAAGCTTTTTTTTTTTGTAATACCCCAGAGGATAGATGAGAATGTGCTGCTCTGGGATTCCCTAGCTAGATTAGACTCGCAGATATGTTTATCATTCCATTACAATTCTTTACACTCTAGCTATCAATCAAACCACTCTGCTTCAGAGACTGTCTCAATGCTTGAGGGCAGTGCAAACACCACCAGTCTAGGGTTACTGTGTTCAGGTACATGATCTGGAATAAGGCACTTATTCCAACCACAAAACTGGATAAATATCTGAGAAAAATGGGAGCGGGTGAGTTGGAAGGAAAAGTAGACTCTGCTTGTTCTGTGAATACAATCCTTTTTTTAAAAAAAGACTCTTGCTAAACTTGCTGAAGTGCTTCATTTTCAAAATAACTTCATGATAGAACATACTTATGCTCTTGTACAAAGATCCAAGGTCCTTACTCTGGAATAAATTACTTCTGGAGTAAACCAAGACGATAGAAAACAAGGTCACCGTCTCCTCACCATCATCCACCTCTATGCTCCATTCATGAGCTTACCTGTATGCTGCAAGAAGCAGTCAATTGATAGCCCATCCTAGCTATCATCCCTTATACAATGCATTATAAATTCGATAGCCTCTGTACCTGTGGTTACAACCCCCCTTTGGGAAGGAAGTCTCTGTTCTAGGATCAAGGTGAGTGCATCTTCTGAGGCTCCACCTCAGTGGTGGGCGTGACTCAGTCACCCTCTTTGGTTTCCTTGGGGGTATGAGCTGCTGAGACAAAACCACGCCTCCAGCAAACCACGCCTCTGGCTCTAAGAGTCACATGGGGAACAGAACTCCCCAGACCACAGGAAGAAGAACCAACTGTGGAGCACACTGGGAATCTCTGTCTGAAGTGGCTGTGGCACCAGAGGCTGGGGCAAGAAGACATGAGACAGAACAGAGAAGCAGTGCTCAAATTATGAGATTGTAAGGTAAAGCAGTAGACTGACTTCTTAGCCCAAGAAGGCAGAGGCCAGGGGACCAAACTGTTGGCTGTGGAAAGGTGCTGCTGTGGACCAGCGCCTGCATTCTTAATGTTCTTTTGACTCTGGCTTGTGGAGGCCTATTAAAGAAAACACACACACACACACACACACACACACACACACACACACACACTCACACACTCTCTTCATGAGTACTGTGAGTGGTGTGTGGCCACTGCAGCAAATCCGTGAAGCCAGCATGGCAGTAGAGTGCCCTGGGCAGAATGATCTGTGTCGGAATAGGCAAAGGGAGATGGAGGGTGGAGGGAGGGCTGGCCTCTGCCTCGTGCAATAGGGGAGCCAGAGGCCAGATGTGGCCTCCAAGCCATTTCTGTATCCTGTCTACCTACAAAGAACTTCTTTGCTATTAGAAATACTACCATCAGAATAATTCCTTTTTCAAAGGAGACTTATTAAAATGATACAGGAAAATTTGTTTTAAAAGCCACTTCAATTTTAAGCACACACACAGTTTATTCTGTGTCTCTGTGGATCAACCAGACTTGGCAATATTTCTAGCGCAGAATTATCAGCAAGTCCTTCCAACCTCAAACAGTTAAGCCCCTTGATTCAAGAGCCAAATTTGCTCATATTGGTATCTAGATAACGCAATCTTAATACCCAATTAATATACTGATGTTACAACAAAGTCAAATCCTGGCTTTTACAAATTACATTGTGTAGAATACAAAACATGTTCACTAGAAACTCACTTCTACGTCTGTAACTCCTAAAACCCACTTATCATTCTAATATAAACATTACTTACTATAATGCACCTGGTGATGTGAACTCAGTCTATTTCCTTCCACTGAACTAGGAAGATGCCGCTCTTTCGTTGTAATCTCCCATCTGGTACAGGCACCCACTGCCACTGAGTCGATGTCCACTTACAACGACCTCAGGACAGGCTTGAACTGCCCCTGTGAGTTTCCGAGACTGCAATGCTTGAAGGGGCTAGAAAGCCCCATCTTTCTCATGAGGAGCAACTGGTAGTTCTGAACTGCCGATCTTGCAGTTAGCAGCCCAATGTGTAACCACTACACCACAAGGGCTCCTTTTATTATAGGTGTAGGGCATCTGAAAGTCAGAGCGTGTTTTTCAGCAAGGAAACAGCGGCTCCACGGGCTTATCTCCAAAAGATTGAACAATCTGAAAATGTCTTACTGATAAATTCTTACTTTTCCAGAATCAGTCATAAGGACATTAGTGGTAAGTTAGCTGAAAGCTAGGGCACTCTGGCAGGATGTGGCTGAGAAATTTGTAGTAGATTAAAAAAAATTTTTTTTCTCATCTGCTAGTCAGTTTGGCTAAACACACCAAGGAACACTTACTCCACTATTAACCTCCTCGCTGTCACAGCAAAACAAAAAACCCGAACAGAATGAACTGGAGGAGGTTACTGTGGAGAAGACACTACGTTGGTATTTTATGGAAATTTAGTGCAAGCCAGAAAACAAAGGACAGTGTTACCCAGAGACCTGACCACCCAGACCACCCCCTCACATCGAACTGTACATTTAAATCACTGGGCGGTGTGCTAGGGGATGTTCCCTGCTCTGTGCACCAGGGAAGCAGTCGCCACACATAAAGCTAAAGCAATCCTGGAAAGGATTTGCTAAAACTTAGCAAAAAGTATTACGTAAGGCCCGGATGTCAGATAATGAGGATCCTTTTTCTTTTTAGAGCAAGAGGGCTCTGTCGTCAAAATTGGCTGCAAGTGATCAGTTTTCTTTTCCACGCTGGTCCACGTGCTGCCCATACTGATTCCGATCCATCGCGACCCTCCGCTCTGACCCTTGCCCTGCTCCAGGAGTGAGAATGAACTGACCCACACAGGAGCCTCACAGGAGCCACAGGAGTGATCAGGAGATCCGGTTAGTAGCAATACCAAGGACCTTAACTTTTTTAAAAAAACCACAGTGACAAAAAAGAATGCTGCATCTATCTCCCCCCTCCCTCCCCGCAAACTACGTGGACTAATTTTTGCAACGATGATGACAACGAAAAAGGGCTATGTTAAAAATCTCACATGGCAAACAAACAAAAATCTTACCTGGCAAACGTAGTCAGCTACAAAGTTTCAAACTCACCCCGCATTATATCCTCACAGAGTTTTTTTGGGTTTTCTTTTTTTTTCAAATAAGATGGTTTCTAAGAGGAATACTGAAAATAAATCATCCTTGAATACTTTAGATTTTCCCCAACGCACCACAAAGCACATCCAGCAACCCCAACACAGCAGTCACTGGCCTGCTTGAGGTCGGCTGCCGAAACCCGGAGCCGCACGGCCACGAGGGAGCACCCAGCAGACAGCCTGCCACGGCCGCCACTTTAGTGTCCAGTCCACAACAGCCAGTGGAACATCACCATAACAATAACAACAGAAATAAAAGTGGCCTCTGGTTAGAAGGGGGACTCCATTACCAAGGCCCGACTGAGGTACGCTCAACCACTAAAGGCAGGAAGGCGATTAGCATCCTGAATTAATGGGTGTATGGTTTTCAAATGAGCTGTTTCCATGAGGGACACAATGTGGGCTCAGCAAGTTTCTCCTGCAAGAAAAATATAGCTTCTATTTCAAAGAGCACTGATTAGACTTAATACCATTAGAGAGCCATCAAGGATTTGTGTTGTTGCTGTTACTGCCTTAACGATCAGTTACTTGCTAAACCAAAAATTGCTGGTAGTTAACTTGACCGACCATCAAGGTTTCGGAATGCGAGAGCAAATCCAAGGTACAGATGAGCTTCAGATGTAGCCAGGCCTCACTAAGCCGGGCCTCTTTTCACGTTGTCAGGGCCTCCGTTTCTCCCTGCGTCCCCAACTTCAGTTTGTCTCCCCTCAAATACACTGGATACTAGACGGTTTGAAGAGTTCTAAGTACGCTTTATTAGTGGCAGGGTAAATCATTGACAATCGAAACCCAAATTAAACAAATCTACCTAATGAATTAATGCTCGACTACCATACACTGCCTCCACCACAGGCACCAGCTGTATGTGTTTGAAAAGCCAACAGTAAGAATGCCCTTTGTAAATTCTGGGCAAGAAAACATAGCGGTGCCGAGTCTCTTTCCATCAACACTTGAAAATACAAATATAAAGTAAGTTCAAGAAACCACATACAGAAGAAATAAGCTATAAAACAAAGTGACACTGTAAAGGACTGCTCAATTTACTTTGTAGTTTTGTTGTTGCTTTCCAATATGAAATAAATGTTCAAAGTACATGCTTTCTGGATGGAAGTTCGAATCCAGAAAGGTCTTTTTTCCCCGCCGCCAAGTGGAATCTTTACTTTTTCTTAATTGTCAAAATCTTAATTTTCACTCCTGGTAGGACTTTTCTTCCTTGGCATAATTCTCTTTGTTACCCCACTGAAATATTTCTCCCGAAAGGAATTGTGACCTTGGTATGGCAGGATCTGATCACTCAGCAGGTGGGAATACTGGTCCCGGTTCTGTTGGGATTGGAAAAGAAAAAATAAAGATGTTTGTTTCCTTAGCTTGCGACCACAGCAGGCATTTGCTAGAATCACAAACTCTCATTTTCTGGTGTGTATTTGTGGGGTTTTCTTTGCATATGTGTGGAGTGTAGAACATTCTCATTTTCTGGTGTGTATTTGTGGGGTGCAGAAAATTCAACATTTCTACACCTGGACCACACTCAGAAACCCAGAGCTTCCCGCACCTTCATCCCCCTCTGCAATCGCGGAGCAAACTCTTCCTGAGAAAACAGACCCAGGGCTCACCTTCGGCAAGCAGCTCATCACAAGCAAACCCCCTCTAACTACACTCGCTCTTCTGGACCCCAAGTTTGCACAAATTCCACTGCGACCGTGCTAAGAAGAGGAAGAAGTGCGCACCAACCCCACCAGGCGTTTGCGTGATGCCGTCCAGATGAGAACAACTATTTGGGGACATATCCACGCTCACAAGAATGTAAAATGATGCCTGAGCCATCTGTAAGCACCGTTGACGAAGATGTGGGTTAAACCAATGATCCCCCCACTTGCAGGCAAAGTCAGGGCTGGTCCTCACTTTGACACTGGACTCTGCAGCTATCCGTCCAGTGTAGACTGCCAAACACACTTAGGCTTAGAAAACGGGGGACGAGGCAGACAGCAGGAAATGCTGCAACATAAGCTTTGCATCCAGTATCACTAGCTTTCCCAAAATATGACAAGGAAAATCTAATTAGAAATAAAATGTCATTCTTAGCACGTCTGGAACTTCATGTTCGATTGCACAAGGATTAAAGTGATTTTGGAAACAGGTAAGGAAAATCAATGAGAAGAGGTGGCATCCAACTTTTCATCCGGACTTCTGTATCAAACGGTTTCTCACGGCCAGTGAGCCAATGCTGACTCACAGTGACCCCCGTGAGCTTCCAAGATTGTAACTGTTTACGGGAGTACACAGTCCAGTCTTTCTCCTGCCGTGCGGCTGGTGGTTTCGAACTGCCGACCATGTGGATCACAGCCCAATGCTTAGCCATGACACTACCAATGTCTGGACCAGATGAATCCTCAAAGTGTTCTTGGTGATTCTTGTGTGAAATGTCTTACTTTCGTCCTTTCCCTCCTATCTACCATGAATAAAAACTCAAGCTTTACCAAAGTCTGTTGGCTCAGTTGTTTATTCACAAACTCTTTTGCTGCGTACTTTAAACATTCACACATACAACAAAAAATATTTTAAATTATTTCACAGACTTCCTAGTGCACGAAAAATAATTAGGAGGTGACTTAAATTTCATGGCAATATGCTTATTAAAGTTCCAAATTCCTGCATGCCCAGTAGCCAATGCTTACTAATAATACAATGCTTACAGCAACGCACAATCCCCAAAGATAGAGGTTTTCCTTCCTAGTTAGCTCACAGATAAGGCCACTGAAAAAATAGCAAAGTAAAGGTAGTATTAACTTGGCACTTTTTTCTTTATGTTTATTCCAATCAACTCTCCAGCATTGTTATTTTGGGCAACAGCACATGATATACTTCTGTAGCTTCCTAGGTATTAAGGAAATACTCAGGTGGGAATAAAAGCAAGTTCTAACATCACAATTCTAGCAACAATCACTGCAGATTTGATTAAGTAAGTTTTCCCTTCTCAAAGAAGTTCTCCTTTATTAAAAGGTAATGGGTTCCATCTAATGTCCCCAAGCACCTACATACTAAACCTTAGAACCTGCCCCACCTGTCCCTCCCTCTTTTTTATCCTCCTACCTTCTAGAGCAGCGGTTCTCAACTGTGGGTCACAACCCCTTTGGGGGTTGAATTTACTTGGCATTTTTAATATGCCCAGGACTGTGCTAGATGCATTATCTGTAGTATCTAATATAAGCTCACATTCACTCTAAGGGGCAGGTATACTATTATCATCATTTTACAGATAGTGCATATTTAAAACTTCAGGTTAAAGACAACAGAGCTAGTCAGTAGCACAGCTAGGATTTACACTCAATGCAAAGAAAAAAACATTTCTCAAAAGGGGGCTAATAACCAGCATCATGATAGGCACAGAAATTATTGAAATGTTCAAGGATTTCATTTTAACTTGGATCCACAGTCAACACTTTTGAGAGACAGCCGTCAAGAAATCAAGCCAGAGACACACTTTCTGCAGAAGACCTCCTGAGGGCAGTAAAAAGCAGAGCTGTCACTCTGAGGGCTGAGGGGCACCTGGTCTCGGCCATGATAGTTCCAGTCCCCTCCTATGCACGCCCAAGCTGGACAATGACGCCCAAGCTGGACAATGACGGGGGACTGGAGAGGACTGGATGCACCTGAGTGACAGTAGGAGCAAAAGGTCCTGGGTGTGCCCTGCTCTGCCCGAATGAACAACCCTGTCTTGGAAGAAATACAGTCGAATGTTCCTTAGGGGCAGAGGGAGGGAGACTTCTCATGTGGGCATGTTATCAGGAGGGCCCAGATCCTGGAAAAAGATTCCATGCTTGGTTCAGTGTGAGGGCTTGAGGAAAAGTGGGAGACGCTCCTGGCTACAAACTGGCATGGAAGGAAGCTGTAACAGTGGGCACCAACAGGGCGCTGAGTCTGAGGCGGCGCAGGACTGGGCAGTCTCCGTTCTGCTGCACAGAGGGTGGCTGAGAGTCCGAGTGGACCGGCAACCCTGACAGTAACAAGCACCGTTGGACCCCAGAGGCCGCACTCAGAAGGACGGGCCGGCAGGAAGGCTGACTTCAGAAGAACTGCCCTTCCCCACCGCAGGGAGGATGTGTGCTCTGGGGGTCACAGGGTCTGGGGAGCAGGGCGGTCTACCAAGAAAGGAACAAGCTAGATGAGCAGCGCAATGATGTTTCTAGTCCTCAAGAGGATGCGTTTCAATGACGCAAAATGTTCCTAGCAGGCGGCGAAAGAGGCACGCAGTCCCTCTGGGAGTGCAGCCGATGCACTTCTCAGGCCTGAACTCGGGCAGCAGCAACACAGCGCACACCAGTACCCAGACTGAGCCTTGATGTGTTCATTTTAACATTCTTGAGAGCCTGACTGAGAAGTCATATGAAAGGAAGGGCTATGCTACCATCCTTCCCCTCCTCCACACAGTTTCATCCTGTCCTTTTGTCAAAGAAGATAATTAAGAGAAATCTGTCCGCTTCCTGAACTATATTCACTAAATCCTGGCAGAAATGTCTTCTCTTGGTTATGTTTTAAAGTGACGTCCAGATGTTGTCCCCTGGTCTGTTCCCTTAATTCTCTGTACATCTCTCTATCGTCATCAAAAACAGAAACCTGGTCCTAACCTCTCTCCTCTTCTCACATGTGTTCAGTCACCAACTCTTGGGGCGGCTACATCCTCAACATCTGCTCTCCTTTGCCCTTACCTCTATTAATGTCGTTTCGGCGTTTCTCATCTCCCAGCCCCTAAACTGTCCTGTGCGCCTGTCTTCAGTGTGCGCTTTCCACCCTATTCTCCATATTTTAACCAAATTCAACTGATTAAAATGCAAAGCTGTCCAAGTCTGAGGTTTGCCCCTTAACACTCAGGAGTCAGACTCAATGACTCGTTCTGGATGGCATCTCCCCCATCCCTCACCTGTACAGGAGGGATCAGAACACCTTTGGGCATTAAAGTCCTCCCCAGCTCCGCCCTCCTGCCCTCTATTTCCCCTGTGGCTCTACACCATGCAAGAGCATGCCGACCCCACTGCACTGAGGGCTCCTTGCTGGGGTAGTGGCTAGCGGAGCTGAGCAAGGACAATACAGGTGACAACGACGTGATTCCAGCAGGCAATCTTAGATGGCAGAGTCGTGTCGCGGCAGTCGAGAATATGTCTAGCAGACAGACTTCAGCTGCTGCCAGGCAACTAGCAGGAGGAAGCATAACTGGACCTAAAAGAGAAGCTGGATTATATAAGAAGAATCTGGCATCAGGACTGGAGGAAAGTTTATTAACAATCTGTGATATGCAGACGACACACCTTGCTTGCTGAAAATGAGCACTTGAAGCACTCGCTAATGAAAATCAAGGATTGCAGTCTTCAGTATGGATTATAACTCATTGTCAAGAAGCCCCATATCCTCACACCTGGACCAACAGGTAACATCACAACAAACAAAGAAAATAGGTAAGTTGTCACAGATTTTGTCATGCTTGCAGCCACCATCAATGTTCACGGACGCATCAGTCAAGAGACCAAAAGACAAATTGCAAAAGAGATGAAAAGGCTTGGGGTCAATCTGCTGCGCAAGACCTCTTTAGGTATTGAAAAGCAAGATGTCACTTTGAGGACTAAGTGTGCCTGACCCAAGCCACATATGCATGTGGAAGCTGGACCCTAAACAAGGAAGATCAAAGAAGGGGTGTATTCCAATTATGGTGTTGGTGAAGAATCTCGCAAAACCTATGGACTGCCAAAAGAACAAATACATCCATCTTGAAGAAGCACAAGCAGAATGCTTCTCAGAGCCAAGGATGGCAAGACTCCGTCTCACATACTTTGGATATGTTATCAGGAGAGACCAGACCCTGGAAAAGGTCTTGGTCAAGTGGAGAGGCCAGGAGGTGAAGAGGCAGGTCTTCAGAAGATGGATTGACACAGTGGCTAAGCACTGGGCTCAAACAGAGAACCATGTGGGGCTGGCCATTCCTTCCGTTGTTCACAGGGTCACTGAGTTAGAGCTGACTCACTGGCACCTAACAACAAGACAACAACAGAGCGCTCCAACAGCCTGTCTGTCACTGGAGGGTATCTATAGGGCAAGCGACCCATGATACAGGACAAGAGAATATAAAGAGCAGAGCCAGAAGTTAGGAATGAATGAGAGAAGCCTGGGAAACCTAAAAGCAATGCTTAAAATCTATGTTAATGATCACTTTTCAAGAAAACATGCACTACCTATGTATGGCGTTCTTCATCTGAATAATTTAGAACAAAGTGAAAATACAATGAGCCCTTAGCAGACAGGTTGTTTAGTGGGAAAGAGATACACCCTACCG